TGTATGTATGTATGGTATGTATGGTATGTATGTGATAGTATGTATGATATGTTATGTATGTTATGGTATGTATGTTTTGTTATGTTATGTATGCTTTGGTATGTACGGTATGATGTGTATGGTATGTATGGTATGTATGGTATGTATGCTATGTATGGTATGTATGTATGGTATGTATGGTATGTATGGTATGTAGGGTATGTATGGTATGTATGGTATGTATGGTATGTATTGTATGTATAGTATGTATAGTATGTATGGTATGGTATGTATGGTATGGTATGTATGGTATGTATGTATGTATGCATGTATTTATGTTTTGTTATGTTATGTTATGTTATGTTATGTATGTTATGTATGTTATGTAAGTATGTATGTATGTATGTATGAATGTATGTAATGTATGTATGTAATGTATGTATGTATGTTTGTACATATTAATGTAATGTAATGTAATGTAATGTAAAGGTATGCTATGGTATGGTATGGTATGTATGTATGTATTGTATTGTATGTATTGTATGTGTTGTATGTATTGTATGTATGTATGTATGTATGTATGTATGTATGTATTGTATTGTATGTATTGTATTGTATGTGTTGTATGTATTGTATGTATGTATGTATGTTTGTATGTATGTATGTATGTATGTATGTAATGTATGTATGTAATGTATGTATGTATGTATGTAATGTATGTATGTATGGTATGGTATGGTATGGCATGGCATGGCATGGCATAGCATGGTATGGTATGGTATGGTATGGTATGTATGTATCTATGTATGTATGTATCTATGTATGTATGTATTGTATGTATTGTATGTATTGTATGTATTGTATGTATTGTATGTATTGTATGTATGTATGGTATGGTATGGTATGGTGTGGTGTGGTATGGAATGGAATGGAATGGAATGGAATGTATGTATGTATGTATGGTATGTATGGTATGTATTGTATGTATGGTATGTATGGTATGTATGGTATGTATGGTGTGTATGGTATGTATGGTATGTATAGTATGTATGGTATGTATGGTATGTATTGTATGTATTGTATGTATTGTATGTATTGTATGTATTGTATGTACTGTATGTATTGTATTGTGTTGTATTGTATAGTAATGTATTGTATTGTATTGTAATGTATTGTATTGTATTGTATTGTAATGTATGTAATGTATGTAATGTATGTAATGTATGTAATGTATGTAATGCATGTAATGCATGTAATGCATGTAATGTATGTAATGTATGTAATGTATGTAATGTATGTAATGTATGTAATGTATGTAATGTATGTAATGTATGTAATGCATGTAATGCATGTAATGCATGTAATGCATGTAATGGATGTAATGCATGTAATGGATGTAATGGATGTAATGGATGTAATGTATGTAATGGATGTAATGTATGTAATGTATGTAATGTATGTAATGTATGTAATGTATGTAATGTATGTAATGTATGTAATGTATGTAATGTAAGTAATGATGTACGTATGTACGTATGTACGTATGTACGTATGTACGTATGTACGTATGTACGTATGTACGTGTGTATGTGTGTATGTGTGTATGTGTGTATGTATGTATGTATGTATGGATGCATGCATGCATGTATGTATGTATGTATGTATGTATGTAATGCATGTAATGTATGTAATGTATGTAATGTATGTAATGAATGTAATGTAATGTATGTAGTAATGTATGTAATGTATGTAATGTATGTAATGTATGTATGTATGCAATGTAATGTATGTATGTATGTATGTATGTATGTGTGTTTGGATGTATGTATGTATGTATGTATGTATGTATGTATTGTATGTATGTATGTATGTATGTAATGTATGCAATGTATGCAATGTATGTATGTAGTGTAATGGTATGTAATGTATGTTTGCAATGTATGCATGTAATGCATGTAATGCATGTAATGCATGTATTGCATGTAATGCATGTATGTATGTATGTACGTATGTAATGTATGTAATGTATGTAATGTATGTAATGTCTGTAATGTATGAAATGTATGTAATGTAATGTCAGGTAATGTAATGCAATGTACTGTAATGTATGTATGTAATGTATGTTTTGTTATGTTATGTTATGTTATGTTTTGTTATGTTATGTATGTTATGTTATGTTATGTTATGTTTTGTTTTGTTATTTATGCATGTATGTATGTACTACTTTGATGTAATGTAATGTAATGTAACGTAATGTAATGTATGTATGTATGTATGCATGTATGTAATGTATGTATGTAATGTATGTAATGCATGTAATGTATGTAATGCATGTAATGTATGTAATGTATGTAATGTATGTAATGTATGTAATGTATGTAATGTATGTAATGTATGTAATGTATGTAATTTATGTAATGTATGTAATGTATGTAATGTATGTAATGTATGTAATGTATGTAATGTATGTAATGTCTGTAATGTCTGTATGCATTTATTAATGTAATGTAATGTAATGTAACGTAATGTAATGTAATGTAATGTAATGTATGTAATGTATGTAATGTAATGTAATGTAATGTAATGTAATGTAATGTAATGTAATGTAATGTAATGTAATGTAATGTAATGTATGTAATGTAATGTATGTAATGTAATGTAATGTAATGTAATGTATGTAATGTAATGTATGTAATGTAATGTATGTAATGTAATGTATGTAATGTAATGTATGTAATGTATGTACGTACGTACGTATGTATGTATGTATGTATGTATGTATGTATGTATGTATGTATGTATGTATGTATTCATGTATGTATGTATGTATGTATGTATGTATGTATGTATGTATGTATGTAACGAATGTAATTTATGTAATGTATGTAATGTATGTAATGCACGTAATGCATGTAATGCATGTATGTATGTATGTATGTACGTTTGTAATGTATGTAATGTATGTAATGTATGTAATGTATGTAATGTATGTAATGTATGAAATGTATGTAATGTAATGTGAGGTAATGTGAGGTAATGTAATGTAATGTAATGTAATGTATGGTATGTATGATGTGTAATGGTATGTAATGGTATGTAATGGTATGTAATGTTATGTAATGGTATGTAATGGTATGTAATGGTATGTAATGGTATGTAATTGTATGTAATGGTATGAAAAGGTATGTAATGGTATGTAATGGTATGTAATGGTATGTAATGGTATGTAATGGTATGTAGGTATGTATGTATGTAATGTAATGTAATGTAATGTAATGTAATGTAATGTAATGTAATGTAATGTAATGTAATGTAATGTAATGTAATGTATGTATTGTATTGTCTTGTATTGTATTGTATTGGTATTGTATTGTATTGTATTGTATTGTATTGATGTATGTATGTATGTATGTATGTATGTATGTATGTATGTATGTATGTATGTATGTATGCCATTTTGTAAAAAACGTGTTTTTTGCTGGGCGAAACATTTTGTAAGAGCCAACTTTCTTTACAAAATGAACTCGGGACCAATCATTTGATAACGCAATTTTGGGTTCATCTCAGGCAATGCAAAAAATGGTATTGAAATTTTGGCAATGTCCAGGAACCAGAGTTTTTTCTCTAATTTTTTTGGATTCCATCATTGATGTGTGAAGAACCGGCAAGACACCACTAAGTCAACCAACCAGAAAAGGTATGAAAAGGTATGAAGCTTCGGGGACTGGGCAAAAAGAGTCTGGGGTTTCCTGGGGAAAGTTGGACATGTACAAGTAAGACATGGATCTAAACAAACCATTTTTTAAGACACAAACTTATAAGATGATGGGGGTTGGGGCCTCGAAATTAACTTGGGGCAACCATTTTGTAAGGCGCCAATTTTTGTTTTTTTTTTGGGGGGTTCACCAGTGTTTTCTGGGGAATCACACCAAGCCTCGTGCCCAACCCATTTTGTAAACCCCTAACCCTGGATGTTTGTAAGGTTAACTCCTGGGCCCCTTACAAAATGGTTGCCTTGGGTTAGCCGGTTAGCCTGGTAAATGTGCAGGGGATATATTTTAGACGGTATATTGAAACCACGGACGTGGCCTCCCTTCAAACAATGGCAGCCCCGGATTAATAACCCACCTGTCCCCCCTAAAGGTTAACAAGGTTAACATATATTTTTTGGGTGTTTCAAAACCTCTACAAGACAACTTTTTTTTGTAATATTGACAATAAAAAAAGGAAAATACACGAAAAAACACTAATGAGCACATACTCGTATGAACAATACACCCATGGGCTGTAAATTTGGTTTTATTAATGTGGGAGGATTGTTTTTTTTGGGGGAGGACAGCACTCATAGGGGGGCATACTCTTTGTGAGCTTCCAAAATCGCCATTATCGTTTGGGAAAAATCACATCAAATTGATCATTTACGAAATGTTATTTTTGCTTTTCTAATGTGAAACAAACCATGTGAGAGATCAGGGATATGAGGCGAAACATTTTTTTAGTTATTTTGTAGCAAAGGGATGAGTGAGGGAAGGGTGAGTGAATAATTAACCATCATGAAAATTGCACCCAATCAAAAGTAAAAAATGCATACTAAACCCGCTTAAAATCTGGGGGTTGGAGCGTGGCCTATCTAATTGGGAGGGATCGCACCAGTATTGGGGGGCAAACCCTATCTCATTGATTTTAGAATCCGGGAGGATACTAGGCACATCTACTAGGGGAGGCGCCATCAATTGCAACTTGATATTATGCCACTCCAGGTGTTTGTTTGAACACTACTTTGTACTTTGGTCTTAATGTTTGGGATTGACCCAACTTGACTTCCTGATATTTTTTGACAAGTCTATAGTTCTTGACATTGACCCAAACCGCCCGCTGCAAACTCTTTGTGGGTTGTTTTTTGCATTCCATGTAAATTTTGATGTGCATGAATCCTGGCAGGTCGGCATTGGCATGTCAAAAATGTCATAATGCAACGACAAATTGCTACATGGTTTTATTTTTTAAAAAGTGGTTGAGATATGTTGAGATCAGAAATGATCAGAAACAATTTGTTGGACATTGTTGGACTAAAGCTGCAGCAGGACGCCATTGAGATCGACTCTTTGACGGTTTCCTGCCGGAACTGCGCCCGGGGCGTGACTTTCAACGCCACGAAGGACGGAACTCTCAACGCCGTGAGCTCTGAACACCTTCGGTGCCCCAAGACCGTCACCGCGCCGCTTGGTGCCACAATAATTTGCTGGGAAAAAAACAATAAAACGAAAAACAGTACAGACTTCAGACTTCCTTCAACTTTCCACAACTTGAGTCCACATGCATCTGTACATCAATGTTCTAACAAGTGCTGAGTTTGTGTTTGTGGGGAACTGCGTTGAGGTCGAAAGGCTTGACCCAACGTTGCAAGTGCTCCAACTACCAGACTCTCGGCTCACTGTTTTTTGTTTGTCAGTTTTCCTAGTGGTTGGAAAAAAATGCGAATTCATGCGAAAGCCAAGCGCCGATCAGTATGATCATGAACCTTTCTTTTGCAAAAAATTGGAAGACATCCATTTTCCAAACAATTTTATCGCCACGTGTCGTATTTTTAAACCAAATTATACTTTACAACTTGTAGAGCTGAACATTGCTTGGAGCCTGCAGATCGAAGGATTGCAAGCGAGCGCTTCCGCGATGTCGATATGGTGCCCTTGGAAAGCATTTTCCAGACGTGCACGTTCTGTAACTCGGCCTTCAACGGATCAACTGACACTGTATTGTGCAAGATGTTTTCGTGTCCAGCCTGGCTAACTTTCCGTTAGTTGGTCGCTAAGGCAAGCCACACTTCCACTTTCAGAATGACGATTGTCAGAAATGTGGAATCTTCAATGCCTGGTCTGACGGGAGGAAGGATGTTTGCCATGTTCTGCCACGCAAGAAGACAGAGCTTATCACACTCTTGACTGGTGGTGCCGTCGTGGTCATTTTGACCTTCCTTGCGTTCGAGATTTTGCATGCTCCTCTTATGATCGTTGATGCGAAATCAGATTTGGCAGATCCAACACAAGCTGAAAGCAAGAGAACTTTCACGCTTGCAGTGCAAGGGCCTCTTGTTGATCTTCACAAAAGCTTGTCTCGATTGGTGAACCAGCGGGTGCGTTATCGGGCGAGGGGCACGGGGTTGATATGGTTGGACTACGATCAGAAGAAGTCCAACGCAATCAAAGTTCGCAATACCGCACGCAGAAAGCTGTTGCTTCAAGACACAAATCCACCGTTTGATTGTGCTTCGTGCAAGGGTTCTTTGCACGCCACTGATTTTGTTTACCTGCTCGGCCTGCTCACTGTATGCATATTAGTTGTTGCATTGCTGCCTGGCATCATCAAGGTGGCAGTCACGTCCGGAAACGGTGTGGGGCATGTTTTCGCCACTTTGGCTTGCTAAAGCTTAAATATTTGGTGCGCAGTTTTTTGTCGTTGCGAGTTAAAGTGTTATCTTGTGTTTTGCTTTATGGGAAAGACATTACTGCCAAGGCTACTGCAATTTACGTGACCCTTCCTTTGGTTGCTGTTGCTGCACTTCTGCATTTTCCAGTCGCATGGCTGGTCCAATGGCTATATCGTAGAACGTCATTTTCGGAGGCTTTGGATGAGTACAGGAAGCAGATCAACTGCAAGCCATTCACGGGGCCTGACGCAAGCCATCCTCGTAATCAGGGCTTGCAGGTTCTGACTTTGCGCGGCTTGTGGAAGCACTTCGAGAGTTTCTTTCTTTTCACCGGCAAAGATTTGTTGACCTTTTTTTTGTGTCTGAAGGGGAAGGGGTTCGGGTTCGAACATATTTGTTTACACATATATACGCATAGTCTGTTTCATCATCCTTGGATCTGAATGGACAGATGGAGTATGTTTGTATTTGTTCAAGTCTGCAAAAGACTGTAAGAGAAAGTTTGTTCCAACCTGCCCAAGTCAAGTCAGGCTTTATTCTGGAGCGCAATATGCACTTTGTGGTTGCCAACATAGTAACGCCACTGACGCAAAGCAAGGGAGTTTCCTTTGTAACTCTTTGGGGTGGCAGGCGGGTGGATTATTTTGTGTCACTTGACCATTGCTTTTGGCAAAGTGTTAAAACTGATGTGTTTCCCTTTCCTCCAACGTTTGTGCGGTCTCTGTCCGGTCCTGCTCCAAAACGCCTCCTTGCGTTTTGGGTAAGGTCCCATTCCTGGGGCACCAGCTTTCCGCACTTTGTGCAGTCTATCCAGTGCCATGCTCTGTCCAAAGAGGGTCCCACTTCTTGGATCGATGCAGCATATTGGATCTGTTCGTTTGCAACTTGGAGGAGAACACGAGCCCATCTTAAAAATGTTTTGAATAGTTGTTTTTGCATTTGGCATTAGCACATGCTTCATGTTTGGGGTAGATGGACCTCGATCATGGTCCACTCTCTTACCTGCCAGACAGACGTTAGACTATAGGGTTTGTCATGTGTGAGCCATATTAATGAAAAACAATGCTTTGAGTTGGAACTGCTGTGAAACTGAAGGAAGTCTTCAACAAACTCCGCATGTCACCCAAATAAGCGCAATTGAAGACATATAAACACCACCATGTTGGTTTATTGTGTGTTTCTTTTGTTTTTGGTGTGCAACTTAAAACTAGTAGATTTGGCAGGTCTGGGGTCTGACCATGTTTTGTTTAATTATTATGGTTTACTCCAATTTTTACTGATGTTATTTGCTGTATATTTGCTGTTATTGCCGCGCATTTAAACATATAAAATTGTTCAAGGGTCTGACCGTCTGACCGTAGATTTTTGTTCATGGTTTCATGGTTCTGTGGGGAGATGTTCTCGCTGGATATTTGTGTAGTTGTTTTTCTTTGGCAGCACCCTCCATTAGATACCCTTCTATGTTTAGGCATTTTCTTCTGTCAAAATGAACTATATATAGATCTGTGAAAGATTTTGTCTTTGGAGAGAATTCTGCCAAGGCAAACAACCAGTGGAACATTGGAGCCGACTTGGGAAATGATCCCATGGAGAGCGCCTTTGCACGGACCTTGACTGCGGGAATCAAAGGAGTTGCAATGGTATTGGATCAGGAAGTGCAACCTCTCACGAGTGACTTGACCAAATGCGCAGCGCAAGAGCTGTGTTCCCCAAAATCTTTGCCCAAAACCCAAAGACTTCCTGTTCTGAGGAGTTTGGTGTCTGTTCGAATTTCTCCTGTCCAGCCGTCAGCACTTGGAATTGGTTTTTGTCACCAGTGCCGGCGTTGTGGGTGACGCTGCTTGGCACAAACAGGTGTGCTTGTCTCAAACAGCTTGGAACTCTGCAGCCAATGCTGTTTCTATGATACAATAAGAGTCCTTTGAGCATTGCCCGTGCACATGTTGTTGGTAAGTTCTCGTTTTCTCGTTTCTGCGCAGTTATGTGTGTTAATCACATCTTGCAAGAAAAAACGCTAAAGTTGGCACCCGTTAATTTTCGTCAAGTTTGTGAGTTTTTGTGAGTCAGAAGCGGGGCCTAACAGGTATAGTAAAAGTATGTAAAAGTGAAGGAAAGGGCCATAGAGCACCATTGGCGCGCTCAAGTTTTGTTGTTTCCCGCTTCGCTAATCGGACTGCTGTAGGCCTGGAAAATCGGTCGGTCAGGTAGTTCGACATGTATCAAACATGGGTGCAACCCTTTGATTTGGTAAGCGAACATGACATGTCAATGTGTTGGTAGTATGTATACTGTAGTTGCATTTTTTGACCTGCTACGACATGCAAACGTGACGTGCCCTTTCGCTGCAGGATGGCTGCAGCTCCTTTGACATTGCATTGGAGGTGGGCAATAAGATAGAGTCTCTGCAAGTTGCCAACTGTGGGGCATCTTCCGAGAAGGACAAGCAACTTGATTTCAACCAAGATTTCAACCATGTTTTTTTTAATGTTTTTTTTGAAGACCCGCAGGTTATTGCTGTAGGGCATGAACATAATATTAAAATGCCATTCATGCGGACGACTAGATCATCTATCAACGCATGCTATCTCCTGCGCATGTTTTTGATGAGCCACAGGACAAAGTGCATAGGGTCGATGCTGGGGCCATGTCAGGAAAGACATCTTCGACTACATCATCTCCGAGTTGGGGAGTCTTGAGCGAATGGATGAGCAAATTCGAGAGCTCATGGGTGACATGCTGGTGAGAAATCTGGCCAATGTGGAACAGGCAACGGATGGCCTTTTACACCGTTTGGGTAGGAAGTGAGCCCCTGCCGCTCTTCACTAGATTTTCCTTGTCAGGGCAGTGCAAAAGTCGCGACCCTGTATGAAGAGCGTTTTTTAATTCCTTCCAGAATCCGTTTTCTTTTACTTCAACTCAACAAATTTAGTTGAGGCTTCTTGAGCACGCACAAGGTCGTGCCTCGTCCACCAGAGGTGACCCACGTGAGCAGCTAGCAACGAACAAGAATTTGTACGCGACAATCATCCCAAAGATTGTGCCGCTGGTTGCTCAACGGGTTCTGCAAGTTTTCGACGTAGCTTTAAAAAGGCGTGACTGGACTCGGTCATCCATTTCCAGGAATCTTTGCCCTGGGTTGTGTACCAGATGCATCAGTCAGACATTGTCGTTTTTCCGCACTCGAAGGATGATCCTTCTGGTCTGCGCTGGCCGGCCACCAGGCAGGAATACGTGCGGTAGATGGATGAACGAGTGGATTGGTAGTATAGACTGCTGGTCAGAAACGATTATAAGCGCCCGGTGCCTAAGATAGGGGTTGGAAACAACAAGTTAACCACGATTGGGGCGCATAGCCAAAAAAAGGATGCGCAGCAAACAATTACTGGGGGTTGCAAACAACAACCATGACACAGGGACTCAACCCATTCACCCACAATGTGTGGTTTCCAAAAACGCGCCATCGTCAGTTATATTTGTGGGCACAGCAGATGTCCACAGAAAAAGGGGCTGGAAGATGAGTTTTCTACCATGTGTTGTTTGTTGTTTTTTCTGAGATTCACAAAAACACCAGGGGATATCAATGGAGTATATCATTAATAGTCATATGATTTTTGGGTAATTTTGATTTGCCGACAATTCCGGGGGAGTAACTGTACCATGGAGTCATCCACCGGTCATTTTGAACCACTCAGACCCAGCGCATCTTCGCAAAATGCGGCGCCCTGGAGATAGTGATGTTGTGCTTGCGAAAGGGATCTGACAATCTGACATTTAAACGTGGGGTTGAAATAAACTGAAAGTGATTGGTACTTTGAGATGTTCAAGTGACAGCAGCCTGTGTATATCCGGTGGTTATGATAAGGGATAGACTGTGCTGAGACTGCATGCCCACCACATGTGCTGTTGTGGCTTAAAAGTTTCTTTTGGATCTCGTGACCCAATGGATTGCTTTTGTTTTTGCGCAATGGGCCCCTTTCCGAATTCTTTCTTTTAGGATTTCATTTTAGAAGACCAGATTCTGTCAATAATTGCGCTTTAGATGATGTGCTTGATATCTTGCCAAAATCACAGCTAGTAACCACCATCGAACCGCTCTAAACAAATGCCTTGAAGTGTGACAAGCTCTCTAAGAACCCAGCATGACAATTTGCAGAAAGCACAGAAGAATAGCAGCCGACGGGCAGCAATGCAAAAGCGGAAGGTGGTGCAGTACTTGAGCAAGTGCCTCGTCAAAAGTAAGATGTGTGCTGACGCTGATGGCCAATACATGTCAACAATGTCACAACATTATTCCAGCATATTCCAGCAAATCAACACTTCCTGTACTGTTGTTTTTGGTGTGTTGATTGAAATCAAGCTGACACGCGTCCAGGAGGCAGAGGATCAAGTTGTTAGGTGAGTTGCCTTGTGAAACTGAGGTACATCAAGGGCTTGAATGCAGATCAAGTTTCCTCCCGCGCCTCGGCACTTGGTTGTCTTGCTTTGGAGTTCGAAATCATGGTGCTTGCAGCACTTAATGCCTCCAGACAGCTTGCAAGAAAATGGGGAAGACGTAGTTGGTTGAGAACGACAAGCAGTTTGGGACTTAACATTCCTTAACTCTAGCTCATTTAACGTTCACCGTGTTTCACCAAAATGATGGTTTGAGTCGTTTGAGCCACCAAATGCCATACCAAACTGCCACTGACCTCCAGCACCTGAGGCCTCTTTTCCGGTGAAGTGGAACTGCGGGATGCGGAATTCGAAGTGGATCCCTTGCGGAAGTTGCTGCTAGGGACGTTGCCGTTCACTTGGGAGGTGAGTGCAAACCAGCAACAGCTTCAGATGTTGGGGTTCCCAAGTAGGAGATGACCCCGGATCAAACCGGATCAAACTGTATTTGTTGGGATGTTGACCCACATCCTGAGTTTTGAAAGGTTTCTTGAGAAAAAATCTGAGTTCATTCCGTTTTCATTCCGTTTTGGTTCCCGGTCGTTGGTCCCCCGGACCGGGTGACGCGCCGGTGACGGATCGCCAGGTCCTGGCGATTTCCTGCGATCGGCTGCAGGTCCAGGTACCTTGGAGTGCCCTGCGGAGCCGTGCGGTGCAGGTGAAGGTGGGGAAGCTGCGAGTGCAGGCGGGGCGCAAAAGGATGGGATTGGGTGGATGATTGGGCCATTAATGGGTGGATTTATTATTGATTAAGAACCTGATGATTAAGATTAAATCTGATGATTGAATCATGATTGAATCATGATGGATTGATTAAGAACCATTTTAAACATGGGGATTTCACCATAAGATTGAATCTGATGAACCCATGAAACAGGATTGGGTGGATTAAACCGGATTTTGTTGCCATGAAAAATGATGGGGCTGTTTGCCACTATATAAATATGATGATGATTGGGGGGTTGACCTGGTATAGCATGATGGAAAAGATGGAACGGTCCTTCCATTGACAGAAATTGGAATGATATTTGAGAAAAAATGTAAAATTGGGTGGGTTCAACATGAAAATGATGAGATTTAACCATGATTAAACCCATGAAACAAAACCATGCCATGTTCTCTTGACCGTGAAAAATTATGGGATTGTGTGCCATCAAACATGGATTAACATCGGGGTTTTCACCTGGTAGGATGATGGCTTTGACCATGACAAATGGTAATTTGACCTGCTATTTTGTCCCACCCAGTCCTTTTAACATTTGTTTAACTATTCTCGTGGCATTTTATGGCAGCAGATAGGCAGACGATGGTATCTGGACAAATGATGGTGAATGTAGTGATCACATGTGATAACTATATTCCAACATGTAAGGGTAAGTATCTCAACATGGCAGAATGTAGTTACCCATACCATGGTCAGTCAGCCAGATAGGTAAAGATAGGGGGCCACTGGTCAATTCAATTTACATGATGACAAGGCATGGTGGATTATTCCAAACATGATTGGTCAACAAGTTTGTTCAGATCAGATGATATAGAAATTTGGTCAGCTGTGATTTGACTATTAACCAACAGATTGACTACAATGTTTGTATAATTTGGCAATTATAGATGAGCAACTATCATATAAGCTAATATCAGCTATACGTAATTACTGTATATATGTAATAAGCAGCTATGCTAAAATCATTTGGCGCCATTATTATATATTATTATTATATATATTATTATTATATCATATTCTTATATAATAACTATATATGTTAAGCATTATATATGATCATTAAATTATAGCTGTAGTATTTACTGTAGTCATACTTAACCAACCATCCTTCAGGTGGCGGTCCACAGCTGCACCGACCCAGCTTGGGCGGAGTCTCTGGCGACCAGCACGGCCGTTGCCAATGCGCAAAAACCACAGGAGCTGGAGAAATCTCTAGGGATTTAGCACGTTTTTGTGTGAAAGTTGTTTGTGTTTGCTGCCATATCGGGGAATTTGGATCAAGTTGGTTCAATGATCTCATTCGATATTTTCCGCGTTGGTTGGTTGTAACATGACATTTGAAGCGTTGATTTGAAGCGTTGGTTATTCAATGGATATTATGCGCTATTAACTTTGGTATAAACACTGGTTGTCACTTGTTCTTAAATCAAATCATTTGAATCTGTTTGTTTGAAAACTGTTGATGTTTGAGTAAACTTGATCAAGGTATTCAGCTTCCAAATCCCGCGTACTCGCTTTGGAAACCAAGATCCCCGTTTTCATCAACTATCAGAAACGATTGACATCCTGATTTGGGACTCGGAGCTATCAACCAATGGAATCAACTTTAGTAAGGACCCTGTTAATTTGTAGTGAATCATGAGTAATTGCTCTTGTTACTTCTCCCCATGATCATCGTGATATAGGGAAAGCATGCTTTGAGACAGAAGTCTTGTCGATCACCTCCCAATCGTTTATCCCAGTACCATCACTTATTTGCGTTGGAAACAGCGCGCTGGGAGTTCGTTCATCGATTGAGAAACGGTGTGCGGAAGGGGATCAATGCATCTGATTTTCACCGCATGACTTATTGTACCAGTCAAAAACAAGGTGTGTATGAAGTTCAATGCATTTTGTCAGTGAATTGCTTGAAACATGTCCCTTGACAGGTCTCAGTTTCAGCCCAACTCTTCAATCTATCCAGGAGAAACGAGAAGATGAAGAGCAGAAGAGTTTCAGGCTCTCAGACTCTTGGAACGAGCGTGCCGCTCTTGTCGTGTTGCGTTTGGGCAGTTGTGTCGCAGATCACCGTGCCATCACAACTTCATACTGGTCATGTTTTTTCAACTTCATTATGAGTTTCTCAAATTGATCAAACTGTTTGAGGTCTCATATGATCAGTTTGGTGGTTTTTGAAGAGATCACGGGTTTGACGCTGGTTATGCATCATATTTTGCACCATCCAAGGACGTGAAAGTGGGAGTCATTGACAATTTCTGCATCTCTGTGGCTTCATTGCATGTGCTTTGTGCACATGCTGCCAGTAGTGTTTCGCAGCCGTTGTTCCTTGACTTGCTGGCAACCGGCCACGGAAAACCACCCAGCTTTCCCTGGGAAATGGTCTTTCGACGGTGGAGTGCAATACAGACAAAAAAACGGCCTTGTCAAACATGGAGACTGGTTCTTAGGACAACTATGCAATGTCATAGGCCCATGGCAATTGTTCGCACACGGCAGGGACTTGTGACATACGCTTTGCCGATGCTGTCAATGGCAGTCGACATTTATGATTGTCATCCAACAATACCCCCACTGAAAACTGACTGTCCAGATTTATTGTCGCCCAGCTTTTTCATCATCCCCAGCTCAAATGTGAATGCTCCAACAATGACATGGTTGAAAGTTGAAAGGAAAAAATATATTGGATGCTTTAATATATGTTAACATATTACTGATATATAACCATGGTGTTCAATGCTCCAAGGTTCGCGTTTGAGTTCGAATTGGCGGGACTTTCCTTGCAGCCTATCCCCTTTGGCAAAGTTTCGTCTGGTGAGAAGGACTGCATCCATGCCATCTTGGAAAATAAGTGTTCTATCTATTCGGGGTTCTAATATAGATTGGGGGGATCTGTCCAAAAAAACTGAGAAGTACTGAAACGTTCAATCAGGGCTGACTTTCATATAGAAAACCTTGCCGCCAGAGTCGAGAGTCCAGAGTCCAGAGTCCAGAGTTGTTGTTGTTGTTGTTGTTGTTGTTGTTGTTGTTGTTGTGACATTTGGACTTGGGGCAGTGTGTGTGTGTTTTTTTTTCCTGGCGAAGTGCTATGGTACAGTTAGCCATGTTGAGTCAGTCCTAGTTGTGCTTGATTCCATTGCTGTCATGTCTCGAGGGTGATGTCGTAGAGCTAAGATGGATAAATAATATACCATTTCAATCCATTTCAATGGATAAACATCTACACATGGACAAACATGGACAAATATATAGAGGTTGGAAATCCACTTGGCTGTTGGTTAGAATTCTCCACTTTCATGAGTCAATCGGATTGATTCAAATCCCGAACCCTGGTTATTCAGATCTCTTTTTGTTATTTGCGAACTCCGAGTGTTGTCAGTTCACAAATCAATAAGAAAGATCCAATTGCTATGTTTCAAATACTTGTTATTATATTCAATATTTATATGATTTATATTCTTCGTCCATTTCCAATATCCATTGTGATTCCCGTCCCCAAACACTGACCGAACGCGCAAGGCCCGACGTTTGCGCCGCGGCAATTGGACCTCCTTAAAGCGCCGCTTGGAAGTACAGAAGCTGCGACTAGCTGCAGCGAATCTCACGGACAAAGACACCAAGGACAGGTTGGAAGTGTGAAAAAATCTAGGAATGGTTGTGAATACTGTAGTTGGGTCAACTCACTATAATTCTGGCTAAAGTTGGATTTTTGGGTCAGCTCACTATGATTTCCAACACTCAAGTTGGATTGATGACGAATCTGTCCATCTATTTTGTTTTTGTATTTGGGGCCGGTGAACACCGGAGTGTCGAATGCCTGGATTTCATTGTTCAGATGATGCTTCAGTGTATAGTGAGATATAAATAGGAGAAAAGCACAGGATATAATTAGTGTCCCAGTGATTCCCAGTGATTCCCAGTGATTCCCAGTGTACATGATGATACAGTATCGATACATGATGTGTTATTTCCCATGATTTTTCCTCAATATGCAGATACTCATCAAATCCCAGATGCCAGAGGATGCCTTACTGGAGATGCAGAGCTTCAGCGGCTTGGCTGCATTCGACCCCCATGGCTCTTGTCATACTTCCATGGGGCTTAACATAGGCCACTTGGATCCATATATGGTCCAGTACTGGTAGTATCGATAATATATAGTAATAATATGAAGGAAATTCGACTTCCCAGTCACAGTAACTCGTTTCATGGTTCAATTTCTTTCAGTATCCCCGATTTTTGGTCATGAGTCATAACATGTCAAAACCATCCCATTGATCTATCCCCACCCCTACCACAAGCCATTCCAACATGCACCTGGTCCAGGCCTGGACTTGGTGGAAGGCCGAGATATCGGTCGGCGACTGGATCATCACAATCCTTCAGCTCGTATGGCCATGTTCCCCAGGCAGATTCGTATGAACCTCAATCTGCCGGAAGTTCGTTCACATCTTCACAGCTCAGAGATTCTTGGGCTCATTGACTTGCTGGCTGATGCGATTCAACCCACAAGTCCACCTCCGGAAGTGTTGCGAGAAGAAGTCCAAGAAGAGATGAAATTGGCTGTGGCACAGTTCCTTGCAACACGTTCGAAGGGTCGAAGCTTCAGCATTTTCCGCGGTACCAAAAAGACCAGCAGGGCAAGCAAGTCATCGCAAAAATCGGTGCCCAAACCGGTGGGAAATATTTCGGATATGGCTGCGGAGATGGCAGATGTGATGGCAAACAAAGCCATGAAGGTGCTGCAAAACAAACAGACCTTGAACTTTGCCAACTCTGGAAGCCATAGGATTTAAGAGTGATTGGTGATGTGCTGACTATTGCAGAACAAAGACTTGATTATGACAGAGACGTTGAGTCACTAGAAGTCACTCTAAGACAGGGTGCACCACATCCACAATCATCCACATAGGATTTTTCCTTGTTTTGGTCGTATGTTCCTTTCATCGCTTCCATCCCCAGGCAGGTGCTGTTGCCGATGCCGCCAGCGCCGCCGCCGCCGACACGGCGCGGCGCACCGCCGTGGCGGGCGCCCAGGCAGCGCAGAAGGCGGCGCAGGGCGCCAGCCACGCGGCGCAGAAGGCGTCGCACGTGCTGGGCGATGCACGGCGCAGTGGCCAGGCGGCAGCGGAGAAGGCGCTGGGCAGCTTGATGCGCGCGGGGGGATTGGCCAAAAAACCCAAGGAGGCTGTTCTCAGAGATGCTGCCAGGGAGGAGGAGGAACTGCAGGCTGTTTTGGCCTTGTCGTTGAAGGAATTTGAGGCCCAACATGCCAAATCTGTGGAGGAATCGCCGGCGGCCAAGCAAGAATCGTCACCAGGGGGTCAAGCGTCTGCCTGTCAGGAGGAGTGTCAGGGTGAAAAAATTGGTCTTGGATGTGTGTCCCTTTTACGATGGACAGTAACGGTTTGATTTGGGAACTACAATTGATACTGTGTGTGAAAATAACCCAATATACAACAACATCAAATTCCGATATTCCCCCAAGGCTGGTCTCAGCCCCTCTTCTTTCCAACATGCCCTGTGCCAGGATCCAGATGACCAGTTCGAGGATTTCGCTGGAAGTTTATTGGGTTCCTCCGGCTCCGAGTCGGATGATCGGCAGTCTGTGGAAGACTTGGAAGACGAGCCAATGGTGGTTGAAGAGGTCCCTTCCAGCCATCAGCCTGATAGCTCCCTCAGTTTTCTGGAGAATCCACCCCAACCTCCCATGGGTTTGAGGATGGTGAGCCTCCATGCTGCCATCAGCAAGTTGACAGTGGTTTTGCCAGTGCCTGGCGACTCCACAGAATTTTCTTTGGAAGTTAGCAATCTGAACTTCTCGGGTGACACCTATTTATACCTTTTTCTGTCAGAGATAAAATGTCTCCGTCGCTTGGCCGTTCTGAAGGATGGAGATCTGCATCATCCTGGCGCATTTTCTTCCCATGCCAGCAGTGGTGCCTTGACCATCTGCTCTGCCGCAGTGAGTTTTGGTGAAGATCAACTGCTGTCAGTTCAGCATTTGCCGAAAGCAACGCCCTGGATGTTGACTTTGAAGGTCTCAACAACGCTGCTGAAGCAGCCGACCATGGCATCACCGAAGGTGGAACTGACCCTGGATGGCTGCCTTCATGGCTTGAGGTTGATGCCCAACATGACAGCCGTGAAGGCGTGGGAGACCTGTTCCCTGGCCCTGCAGGCAATTTTGAACGCCATTTCCACATTTGGCACATCTGGCAATGGCCCAAAGTCAGCTGCATCAGCTGAGGTCTCACCCAAATCAGCAGATTCAGCTGCATCAGCCTGGTGTGTGGCCAATTTTCAGCTCTGGAATACCCTGGTGGATTTGAAACACCTCTCTCCAGCACCGTTGAGGTCCCTACAACTGGTGCTTCCGCAGCTCGCTTTCAAGGCCACAGATGGGTTGCTGGGTTTCACTCCACCGGTGCCCCAGTGGCACGTGCTGCCGCCGGCCGCCGAGGGGCCTGAGCCGGACTTCTATTTGTACGACTGTTGCTGCCAGCCCCCAGGGGTGGAGGTTGGGGTTGGAAAGATGGGTTTATCCGTCCATGAGCTGATGCATTTTGGTGCATTTTATGGAGATAGATTGCTGTAATACTCACTGACTTACTGGAAGTAAAGTATAGGTAATATAAATTCGTTTAATTATTTTGACCCACAATGACTACAGTACACTTCATGCTGTTCATACTGAGTACAGTATCCCACTCTCTTCAGCTCATGTTTGGGCCTTGAACCCCCGTTTTTTTTTTGCTATAGCTGCTAGGGATGACTCGGTATGGATAAAATTTCAAGGTCCACCCACAGAGTTTCTTCATATTTCGCATCTAGAATCAATTATTGGTTGAGAACCCTTTTGAAAATACATCATAATCAAGAAATCTGGTGCCATCTTCAGAAACCATGTGGGACCTTTATACGCAACAAAAAACAGTTTCGTGTGTTTCATCATCGAAGACAGCCATGGCTTGATCCCAGGTGGAGGCAGATTCCAAATACGCCAAGAGTTTCGATGGCACCTGGGAGGTGCTGGTCACGGAACGCGAGTGGCGCGAAGCGCCCCGTGGAGGTCGAAGCGCGCAACGCTTGCTGCTGGCGCCTGGGGAGATGTTGGAACTGTCTAGATCCAAACTGATGCTGGGCTCATGGGGTATGTTGGGTGAGTTTCCCAAGAAAAGGTGGGCATATCAATATATGACATATAACTTATGAACACTAAATCTTGTTGTGACCACCAAACAGTGGGAATGGAATACAACCATTCAACATATTCAACCAGCACAACAAGTGATGTAATTGTATGGTGGTTTCAGCACTTCTTAGTCTCAACAAGGCAAACACATGTGAATTCAATCACACCATTAGAATCTGTGATGTAGATGAGTATGTAAGCAAGTTCCCTGCATGGTTGATTCAAAGTTCTTCCAATGGTTGATCCTCATACCAAAGAAGATCCGTTCATTTTTCGGCGTGTCCCAAGAACCTATCCCTTGGATCAATCCATTTTACCCAGGAAAGTCTTGGAAGGCGCACAGCGCTTAGAAGACCTGGCAGAACGACAACATCTGGAAAGCTGTCGTAGGATTGAGAAGGATGCTGCTGAACTTCTCCCTCAGGCAGGCCACATTGGCCATGGAGCACCATAGAATTTGATGAATTTGGGAGTTGAAAAATGTTTGAAGCTTCAGTCGCAGCTTGATGTCTGAATATGTTCAGTTGGTGAGTTGGAAAGTGGCCTAGCCCCTGGTGGGACCTAGCCCCTGGTGCCCCTGGTGAGGTGCGTGAGAAGATGGAGGATCTGCCTTCCTTGGAGGCTCAGCTCGAAGCCTTGCGGGTGGAACTCAGAGAACTGGATGAAAAGAGGCGAGAGGAGGAACTGCGACTGAAGGCCTTTGAGAAGGAGATCTGAATGGATTTCCAAAGGGGATGGAGATGGATGGAGATATTACTTTACTTTGCTTATTGTTTGATATACAGGTTTAGTTTATTGGAGCTCAGCACATGGGGAACACGGCATAGGACGTCAAAATGATGATGTTGATGATGATGATGATGATGGTGGTGATGATGATGATGATGATGACGATGATGATCATCATCATCATCATTGTCGTCGTCGGTCGTCGTCGTCGTCATCATCATCATCATCATCATCATCATCACCATCATCATCATCCTCAGCAGCAGCAGCACTATCATTCTCACCATGATCGTCATGATAATCGCGGGTATGGGTCATAAGTTGTCGACCCCCAAAAAAAGGAAGATGGTTCATATAATGTTCATGTAAGGGTTATATTATAATATATATGATATAATGTTCATATATGTCTTTGTAAAAGATCTGGGAAACATGATCTATACACCTCACCATCTTTACCATCCTTGAAGCATCTCCACAGGAGATGGGCCTGGAAGTGGCCCAGTTTCGCTCCGAGAAGATGCTGCGTGCTTCGCAGCTGTCACGACAGCTGTCGGAGGAGGAGATGATCACCAGCAGCCTGACGCAGCTGGTGCAGCAGCAGGCGGAAGTCCTAAAGAATTTGGAGGAAAATGGATAGCAACATATGGCAAAATGCTATAGAACTTGGATATGGACATTTTTGCTGGAACTTGGATGAAATTGAGAATTTGGTTCGGATGAAGCTGGACTTTGGATGGAAGTTGGCCATGAAGTTGGATTGGTTTGACATAAATTTCGGTTCATGCGGCTTTCAAGACACGTGGAGAGACGTTCTGGAAGAGGATTGGCTGGTGATGATGCTCCACTTGCTGATCAGAACAGCCTTGGGCCACAGCCTTTGGATTACCAACATCAGCATTCGCAATGAACACGTTGTTCAAGCGAAACTTGGTCAAAATGGCATGACCTTGTGGCAGAGTAAAAAGGTATAGGTTAATGATTAATGATGCTTAACTTGTTTTGATGTATAGATGTTCCAATATTTTCCCATTCTGCAATTGACTATAGAACAATAAAGAAGTAATGGTTAGATCGAAAGCGCGCTCAAGTTGGAGAGTTTCAGTAGCTTGAGCCACCAGCTCTCACGATTTTTGCCATGCCACCAAGGATAGCTGTGGAGTCCACCTGAAGCCTAGCAACTGGTTTGACACGTTCGTGGATGGGCAAAGTCGGATTGGTTCCAAGTCAAATGGACTAATCTTGGAGAATGAAGAGAATCATAACTGCAACCCACGATTCAACACGACTTCCTCTGAGAAGTGGATCCTTGCCAGATCGAGTCTCATCGCAGCTTCCGCTGTGAAGTGGCGGCATAGACAGGGTTTGCCTGTCTATTGGGCAGTGGATTGTGTGGCCAAATATGCCAAAATCCTTGAAGTTTGATCCAACGGCCTACACAGCTGTGAAGAGCTGCAAAACCTGGATTCATGGTGGCAGAAAAACTGTGAGCCTGGCCCTAATCGCATCAATTTTCCAATGATTCCTTCAGGAATTGACTATTTGAGCCTGCTTGGATCAATGATTCATCAACTTGGAAACTTGCGTTCTCAGTTAGATTCATAAGTTTTCCATGATTTGCATGATGGAAGTGCCTTCCGATCCATCCGGGGCATTGCCTTTCAAGAGAGTCAGAAAAAAAGTCGCTGACCGTGGTGCCATGGCGACCGCATCGAGTGAACCAAGTGGCAAGGGCTATGGTCTTTGTTCAACAGCACCTGCAGAAATGATTGACCTTCAGGTGGGTATGGGTCAGACAGTCAGACCCAAATTTGATGGTTGATCAGTTGATCATTGTTTTTTCCGTATAAAACAGGCACATGTGAACATGGTCATGTTACGGATGCACACCAGTCACCAGTCCGTGTTGCCCATTGACAGGTGTTGCACATGGCCGGTGACGAAGTCAGATTGACTGTTCCTGTTTCCACCCTTGGCCGCGCTTTGCAGAAGATGGTTTCAGAGAAACTTGAGACGAAACCTGGCGCCAGAGTCATGCTGCATCACAAGACTACACCTCTGAGGTTGGACAAGACCCTTGCAGAGCAAGATATTGAGGGAAGAAACGCAAGCCTGTCCTGCACCTACGTGCCAATCAATTTGCATGATGCAATTTGCTTTGTGATTGGCTTCCCAACATTGGGGGAAGATTTTGCAATGGAAGGAGTGACGAGTTTGGCCAATTGCCCACCTGGTAATCACTTGCTTCACCTGCCTCACAGCATTCGAGGCTTGTCATTTGAGTCTCACTTTAATGAGAGTTTGGAAAATGTCGAGTTACCAAGTGGTCTTCAAAGCTTGACTTTTGGCTCTCATTTCAACCAGAGCCTGGCTGGCGTGAATTTGCCCAGCTGTCTTCAAAGATTGGCTTTCGGTTTCGATTTCAATCAAAGCCTAGTGGGAGTGAACTTGCCAGACAGTCTTGGAACCTTGGATTTTGGGTGGAAATTCAACAAGAGCCTGGTGGGAGTGATCCTGCCGAGCGGCCTTCAAAGCTTGACTTTTGGAAACGACTTCAACCAGAGCATGGTTGGAGTGAACTTGCCAAACGGTCTTCAAAGCTTATCTTTTGGAGGCGATTTTGACCAGAGTCTCGTGGATGTGAAATTTCCACACGGTCTTCAAAGGTTAACTCTAGGCTTGTATTTCAACCAGAGCCTAGAAGGAGTGAACTTGCCAGATAGTCTCGAAAGCCTGATTCTTGGTGGCAAGTTTGACCAGAGCCTTGTAGGGGTGTCTTTACCAAGCGGTCTTCAGAATTTCACTTTCAGTGATGTATTCAACCAGCGTCCGGATGGTGTCATGTTGCCAAACGCTCTACACAGTTTGACTTTCGGTGTTGGATTCAACCAGAGCCTTCTTGGAGTGAATTGGCCAAGTCGTCTTCAAAACTTGACGTTCGGTGGTGGGTTTAACCAGAGCCTGAAGGGAGTCCTTTTGCCAAATGATCTTCAAAGCTTGACCTTTTTTTTTTAATTTTAATCAAAGCCTTTCGGGAGTGAATTTTCCAAGCTCTTTGAGACACTTGAATTTAAGCAGTGACTTTGACCAGAGTTTCGCGGGAGTAGTCTTGCCAAGTGGTCTTCAAAGCTTAACTCTAGACGTGGATTTCAACCAGAGCCTTCAGGGAGTAAATTTGCCAAACAGTCTTGAAGACTTGACTTTTGGAAACGACTTCAACCAGAGCCTGGTTGGAGTGAACTTGCCAACCGGTCTTCGAAGTCTGACTTTCGGTTTTGATTTCGATCAGAGCCTCGTTGGGGTGAACTTGCCAGACAGCCTTCAAAGCTTGACCTTCGGTGAATCGTTCAACCGGAGCTTCCTGGGAGTTGACTTGCCACAGAAACTTCAGAACTTGACTTTTGGAGAGGTATTCAACCAGAGCTTGTTGGGAGTTATGTTGCCAAATGGTCTTCAAAGCTTGACTTTTCGCGGGGCATTCAACCAGAGCCTTGCCGGAGTTGTCTTGCCAAGTGGTCTTCAAAGCTTGAGGCTTGGTGTCAATTTCAACCAAAAGCTGCTAGGAGTTGCGTTTCCAAGCGACCTTCAAAGCCTGATTTTCGGCTTCCAATTCAACCAGAGTCTAGTCGGGGTGGACTTACCAAACTGTCTTCAAAGCCTGACATTTGGTTTCCATTTCAACCAGAGCCTGGTTGGAGTGATGTTGCCAAATGCTCTTCGAAACTTGACTTTCAGGGCACCATACAACCAGAGCCTGATGGGAGTGATCCTGCCGAGCAGCCTCCAAAACTTGACTTTGGAAGGCGACTTTGAACAGTGTCTTCACAGAGTCAACTTGCCAAGCAGCATTCAGAGTTTGACTCTGGGTCGCATCAATATTTCAAGCACTGCGTGGAGAAAGTGAATCTTCACAGCAGTCAAAGTTGGCGACTTGGAACATGTTGAGACAACGCTAATAAATGGTGACATCAGCAATCACTTCTACACATGTTGGCCGTAAAAATACGAGATACGTTTGCAGTGACTGATCTATCCCTGTTCTTTCCTGGAACTTGCAACACTGAAACCAAAGAGTAAAGATATAGCCCACAAGAAGGAGGATAGAAGCAAAAACATGGGCGTGTCTGAAAATAGGGTACCGCTAAATTTGATGGTTTAAAAGACAAACCATGTTATGTCCCGATTGATATAGCTATTTGGGGCGGGTGTACCCTTTGCTTCCGGTACTAAACCCATAAGGACATCTACAGCTGGTTGTTTCGCGGTGTTTCAGTTCACCAGTTGAGCAAGCCACATTCTCACACAATGTGTGGCAAACTCCCAACAATTAGAGTGGTAATTAACCATATTTTCTAATGAACTTGAAGGATCTTGAACATTTAGAGCCCGCAAAGTTTGCAAAACGTTCAAGTATCATGAAATATCACAAAATCATGAAACATGTGAACCTCTTTACAATGGCAAACAGCACCCGCAGCTCCTGGCTCCAGTAGTTGCAGTTTCACAGGATGCCAGAGCCATCGTTCTGGCAATACCTCTCCGGTCAAGTGCCTGAAGAAATTCGCACTTGGCCAGCTGAATGTTCCTTACCGGCCTTCCACGAAGTCCATGATCTTCTGGAACCTCAGGGTGGGGTGATTCCGCTGTACATCTACTTCTTGCTGTTCTTATGCCAGACCTTCCCCGTTTTTATTGCTCGCCGCTTGTACACCTGGTGGCGGGGATCGGCCAGCGAGAAAAAGCGGAATCCCACTGCGGGCAGCAGGAAACGGAGCTTCATTGCATGGTTCCAGGTCTTCATGGCAGTTTCTGCTTGAAAGTTTCAGATATTTATTGTGTCCCCGCTACTGTCAGCGCTCGGTGTTGGGAAAGCCTCCACACCAATGATTGGTTGGTAATCTATATGTTTTGGATTTCAATTATGTTCATTTTTTTTGATGATGACTCCCAAGGACTACAATTTTCCAGGTGGGTTGAAACATGTTGAAACCATCAGCCAGGTTTGGTATGCAGGGAATGTCACCTACATCTACATCGACATTGCCGTGCAGTTGGCTCGGTGCACGCCAGACGTGGGCGTCGCCACTATGTTGTTTTACTTGCTGTGCACCATGCCTGCGTCGGAACTGATTCGACCAGCCTCTGTGGGTTGGATGAAGAGTTATTTTGGATACATCATTCCATCCCTGGAAGACTTTGAACAAAGTGGCAAGATAGAAAGACATCCTCCGCTTCAGGCTTGTTTGCTGGGTTTGACCTTTATTCCTATGTTAATGCTCCTAGGGCTATTCACCTTGTCTGTTGCGGTGACTTTTGCTGCCTGTGTGTTTGCCTTTATTGGGTGTGGTATTATCGTCATTGCCTCCGCCTGTTTTTTTGGTTTTCAAGCAGCCGCGGTGTCAATGTGTCGTTTGACAAAGCCACTGACTCGATTTGTGGAATTTGGCGCCAAGCAGACTCCCTCATTCCTTTTTTGTCCGGCCTTGGTATACTATGGCATCTTCGTGAACCTCCAAAAGGAATTCCTTGCCATGGCCAGTGGGTCGGAATATAATGCCGGGGTTCGGATAGCAAATGACGAGTTAACCCTCATCGAAGAGTTTTTCCAGGAATTTCACTTCCACTGGAGCCCTCTGCAACTTCCAGGTCTTCCACCAGTCTATTTCGAGTGGCCCTCCTTTGACGGCAGCGTGCCGGATCTTCAACGGGTTCATGACGCAGCCTTTTTGACCATCCTTTTTCTGGATCCTCTGCTGGCTTGGATTGCCAATATGGCCGACTGGGCCTGCAGTCATCATCCCGTAGCGCCAGAGCCGAAGCCTATGGAGGTGATGAAACGAATGGTAGGACCCAGGCAGAAATGACCTGATTGCCTCTGAAAAGGGCGTCCGCCCGGTCTCGGGTGGAGGATTGTTCACTGTTCCTGAAACGTGGGTTTATGATGGTTTATCATCATGCCATGAACATTCAACTGACCGACCCTAATCTCCAAATTTGAGTTTGTTTGGAATGGCTCTTCGCTGGTGGTGACCAGGGACCTATATGATGCCATCCTAAATTCATTTGAGCCATTGAAGATCTAGCTAAGCATTAATGTTGTATATAGGAGGATACCTATCAAATATAATCAATCATGCAACCCAGTGGTTCACGGGGTCAGAATTGATGGGATACCTTATGGCTCATCTAACTGGGACAACAGCCGGACAACACTGCAGAGTGAAAATTCCGACCCAGTCTTTGTCATGTCGCATGCAGCACTGCTACGTGCTATTTGTCACGTTCCGAAGGCTTTCTGGTCGAACGGCCAATGGGTAGAGGAAGAACAGAGACATTGGGCCAAAATGAAGCAGCGGCCGAAGAGACTTTAGTACCACATTGATTTTGATATCATCAATAATATCAAAAGAATGTATACAGACATCTATAGTCTGTAGTGAACACCATGAATACTGTGACTGAGCAACCAAAGTTTAAGGGATGGTCCCGTCAAGGACTGCTTAACCATGGGCTGTTCTACAAGCAGAAAGTACCCAGCAGTCGCGTTCACCCTAGCGGTGTCGCCAGTGTCACTGAGTCGTGTCACCAACATTGATGCACAGCAGACATCAGCAGTTTCACAATCCAGCCATTGTTTCAAGTGACAGCAACGCAGTGATCACTGGTGCCCGGTTGCGACCTGTCCATGAGCAGTTTCTATGGTGAGAGCCTCAGTGTTACCTTGTTGTCGTATGTGCATCATGCGAGTTGCAAGATTTGAGCTGCGCATGTTTTGAATGAATCATGTAAGTTGCCAAAAGAGATATTGATTAACCATCGTTAACAATCATCATCAACCATCATTAACCCACCATTAACCCACTAATGATGTCATCTACAGCAAGTGAAGCTGCAAGTACTCTGGCGGCAATGAGTTTTTGCAACCAATGATGCCATTCGCAGGAAAGAACCATGCAGTGTGGACCTTGGAACTCCGCGTTGAAACGAACAGTGTGAAGACTAGTGAGATATCATGAGTTTTGCATCATGTTGTTTTGTTCGGGGCGCATAGAAACGTTGGGACTATGACTTTGTGAGGACAAGCTATTTCATAGGCCAATTTGATCTGGTGTGTTTCAGATATTTAGTTTGTTTCCATGTGTATTTTGAATGATTAAGCAGTTAAAACCACCAGCCAGGTGAACTAGATTCACATCCACATGTTGGTGAATCCCATACAGAATTTCAACCCAATTCTCTTCAAAGTTTGGCCGACTATATCCTCATTAACATCATTTAGAATCGCAAGTGGCCAGAACTGTTTGCCGACTTGTCAAATCCTTTCCCACGGTCATATTTGATATCTCATTATATCCCAGTACGGCCCATTACATCCCAGTATATGTGTATCCCCATATTATCATTGTATATCATGGTGGAATATTCAAAAATCACAAATATATCATGTTTATCACAAATCTATCATGTTTATATGGTATATCATGGTGGAATATCATGGAATATCAATATATCCACCCTATTTTCACAAACCCAACTTCACCACATCCACGGTAGGGCTGGGATTCTTGGGAGACCTGGCAGCCACACTCCGTCAGATTCTCAGGAAGATCGGTCGATCGGGTTTTTCGCAAACTATGACTGGTTGGTGGTGACTGGAACCATGGAATTTTATGACGTTCCATATATATATAGGAATAATCACCCCAACTGACTGAACTCATATTTTTCAGAGGGGTGGCTCAACCACCAACCAGATGATGTTTAATGATGGTCAGGATAAAGGGAATCATCCCGAAGAATGTTGACAACAACGTCACCTCTTCGAACAGTTGTTTTTTCTGCTTGGCAACAAAAACGTCGCCTGAAACTTTGAACAGTGATGGTTTCTGTATAACATTATATCTATATATAGTCATTTTTTCCTGACTTTATGGTTTTCTTTCACCATAAATCACCATAAATCACAACAAATCCCCCATAGATGACGTGACCAACCAAACTCATGTCGACATTTCTTCAGCTTCGAAGGCATCGGCCTGCTGGAACGGCACTACCTGGAGCTCCAAGGCCCCCTATTGGGGGTTCCCCAATAGCTGGAGGGTTTTATAGTGGATCCTATTCGAATGGGATGATAACTAGGGGTACCCCCATGACGGAAGCCTCCATATGGGGATTTGTTTGGTGATATATGGGGATGAGTCAAGTTAGCTATGAAATTACCAGATGCTTGGGGGACAACCGACCTATATTTATTTGGGGGTTTTTGACCCATGACCACATTTTTTTGGGGGGAGGAATGGTTTGAAGATTACGTAAATTGAGATTTTGGTGGCATCAAATGATAACCTGATTTTGGATCAACAGCTCTGACTGCCGAAGAATTGGCCAACTTGTCGTGGAACATGTCATATTCTGGACATGTTCAACACTATAGGCAAAAGTAAAACAGTAGGAAAAAAAAAAGTAGACAGGTAAAGGCATGAACTGAGGAATGAGCCAACCTTACACCTGGAAATTGGCCCTGCGCTAGCAATGAGTTGCACAACTTGTGAAGCGGGAATGATTTGAGATGAAATTATGGAAGTTGTGGCAAAAATTATACCATCCGCTACTCAACCAACGGTGTTGTCCCTTTGGTGCCCCATGTTTTCTGGATTTTCCATCGGTCATTGTCTACTTGAAATAGTTCTGGCTCGAATTGTTTAGCCCTCTTTTCGGAAAGAGAAGATCGATTTCTGGCCATTTAATTTGGCAAATGTTCCCCTAACAGTTAATCATTCACCAAATTAATATCTCTGCAGCACTGGCGCAGGCTCTCAGTGCCCCTGAGAAGGATGGAGACTGGTGGCCGCATGGCTGAAAACCCGTGGAGAAAACTTGTGAAATCGGCAGATTTTTACATCCCCCAAAAAGCTGGGAGGGTCGGAGATTTGGGGATGTTTGACTAGTTGAATCATCCAGATATGCATCAGGATTCCTTTGGAAGATGGTGGAATTGAGAAATGTTGAGAAGCAATCGAAGCAATTGAAGTTGCCATTGGAACCCTCAAAATAGACAGTGTGTTCAAGCATGTGATTGCTGCCCCACAGTTGGGATGATGACTATCTCAACCGTTCAGCATTTCCAAGCATTGGCTGAACATTTTACAGGCTTTACTTTAATTACTAATCTGGTTGGTGGTTTGGAACATTTTTTATGTTTCCATATATTGGGAATAATCCTTCCCATTGACTAATATTTTTCAGAGGGGTTGAAACCACCAACCAGTAATGTTACAGCAACGGTTTCCTGTCGAATTTCCCTTAAACCACCCCATTGCATGGTGCTGAGGATGTCCTCCAATGGAAGCAATGGCAGCGAAGGTCGGTGATCTATCGAAATGTACCGTGTTCACATGGGGGTCTTTTCGCAAACTGGTCCAAATCCCGTTGTGTGTTTTCTTTAATCAGAAAGCCATGGGTTTTGGGGTCCCCCCTTTCAAGAACCCCTCACATTGTGGTGATAGCAGCTGTGTGTGGTCATACTTGCTGATAGTTGTGATGATTAGAATCATTACGGTGAGGTGATGCACACTTGAAACTTGATCAAGGGCGTTGTCGTCGTCGTCATCATCATCATCATCATCATCCATTAATATACATTAATGACCATGAATAAACATTGATAAACCACTACCAACATTAATTAATCAACATTATCAAAAGTCATCAAACATGCTTTTGGATCTAATCAATTAAAGAACGCGACATTTGGCCCCAGGTTGGAGCCAAGGTAGCCACGGCCAAAGCTGGTGACCTTGTCGGGTTGGAGAAACTGCAGGGTTTCACCAACAAGACTGGGAGTTGAACCAGCAAAAACATCTATGGACCATGCTAAAATATGTTCACAAATCGATGTTTCACTCAAAGTGCGAAAATTGGTATATCACAGCAGGTATGTCACAGCATCAAGTCCTCTTTTGGAATTTTGGAGGGAATATTTGCGAGCATGGAGGGAGACGCCAACAACTAACATGCGCTTTGACCATCCGCAACAGGTCTGAATATTTAAAACACACGTAGGATTCAACGGTCAACAATGGGAATATGGCCAACCATCGGGTACGGGGATCCATAGCCACTTACACCATGCCGTTGGACCCCAACAAGCAACTCATTACCCTCTGGTAATGACTAACATAGCTATGGAAAATCACCATTTTTATTGGGAAAACTCACTATAAATGGCCATTTTCAATAGCTATGTTAGTTTACCAGAGGGTATCCCCAACATTCGCTGAATGTAACTCACATCGAGAGTAAGAGGTACGCTGCTGCCAAGAAGAAACACGCCAGCGAGGTGACATTGTTGGTGGTGGGATCCTACAATAAGCAGAGTGGGAGTTTCGCCGTTGAATAGTTGGAGTTCACCAATGAGAACATGCGGATGTCTTTTGGGATATGTTTCTAACAAAAATTAACAAAATGTTTGGATGGTCAAATATAACTATAGGCATCAAGAAGGTGTGGATGCGTCTTGGTTTAAACAATGAAACACTGTGACTTCAGCAATGAAAAGTGACAGGTTCACTGGTTGATCATCAAGCATGGAGAGTAGGAGATTAGGGGTCGTACCACCTATTGAACAACCGTCCCAGTGGAACACCTCACGTGTTGAGACCTCTCACAACAGGCTCATGTTTGAAGGCAGACGATCATGAAAACCAAGCAAAAACCGAATTTCATGTGCACCTCCATGAAAGTTGCCCCCACAGTGTAGAGAGCATTTGTTTGTTGACTTGAACAACATTTTACATACCCCATCAATATCAAACTAAGATAAATCTCATTCACATATCCCATCACTGTAACTAGTGTTGAATTTAACAATTAAATAATATCCACTCATTGTTACATGAATGGGATATCAAAAGGAGAGTAACTATTGTTAAGCATATATTATATTATTCATTATATTAAAGAGTAATGGAGAGTCAACAGTAATCCCAACTGGTTGCAGCTCCAGGCTTCGGCTCTCAATGGCACGGCTTCTCAAGGTGCGCGAACAACAGGGGAAGTTGCAATGCCTGGGGGTGGTGATTGTCCATTGCCATGTCGGATTACCAGAGGGTAACAACCTTAGGGTTGCATAGGGTTACATGGATGTAAAACGGGACCGGGACACATTTCCTCCTTGAAAATTGTGTAATATACAACCAGATTCCCTTTCCAGGTGAAACAGTTCAACTGATGAGATCAGAATCAGCCAGCATTTCTGGGGCTGATTTGGTGATGTTCCCAACCTGGGTAGACCGGAGGACAGGCAGTTGACCGAAATTCTGGTGGCCAGGACGTCTTGTGACCAAGGAGCCGAAGGAAATCCAGGACGGCAAGGTGGTTGAGGTTATGGCGAGGAACCATTGATCTTTCATCGATAAAAAGAATGGGGAAACCATTGATGTTGAAAATATATGAAGATTGCATCAACGCAGGTTTGGGATATATTATATATCTTGTTGATTCTCCAGATTGATCATTGGTATGGCAGGGTAAGGATACTGACGTCAGCCGGAAGATCATTGGCCTGTAGATTTTGTTTGTCCTGCAGCTGCTATCAACAAGGAAACGCAGAAAACTCATATATAGTTACTATAGATCCCACAGGTCTTCCACAACCACGGCGTAAGTTGATTTGAACCTCAATGACTTCCAGCAACTACACACATGCTTCAATAGGATGGCCCAGTCATGTTGCGCCTTAGCTGTCAAACATGGCTGTGAAGAACATAGAATCGAACTGTGAAGATGTTTTCTCAATAATTTCAACTACAAATCGCCCAAAATAATAAACAAAAAAAACGATACAAGTTATGGGCACGGTACAACAAAGGTGTATCAGCCACCAAACCTGTTCCCCATGTTGGACTTGAACAAGGCTACTGCATGACAGATTCATGGGGTTGCAACTTATGCCGCGATGGCTGCGGTTTTCCCTTGTTGCTGGCACGTGCTTGTCTCAGCCGGTGATTTTGATGATTACAATGGATGATGGCAGATTGATAAAGGGATGTGAAAGCTGTTTGACTGGATCCGGCAAAATGGATTGCCCAAAATTGGTGATTCATTTCATTGATACATCATGTTCCATCATTTTCACAAATAAGAAAAAGTACTCAATTCACAGAGGCTTGGATCAGTTTCATTGACCCAGTCACAGCTGCTAGGTGCCATGGCCAGGCAGGGATGACCCATTGGGAGAAGCCACAGACGAGCCAACATGATCCAATGATGATGTGGTGTTTTTGTTGACCTTACTTCGTGATTGTAGTATTTTTCACAGTATATATATATACACTAATATAATGATTGTAGTGTTTTTCTATAATAGAATTCCTGTATACAATGCTGTTTAAGCAAGACAAGTACTGTAACCCTATAAATCTCCAGGTCCTCTGGGGATTCGGTACACGTCATTACCATGAATGCTGTTGGAAGGAGTCCTTTATCAGGTGAGGCTACTTGCTCATTAATCTAGAAGTGACAAACAAAGATGCGGTTCCCCATTCCAAAAATAGACCATGAACTTGTAGGTCATTGAAACATTTGGAGCACCAACCCCCACTGGCGATCCTCACATGCTATCCCAACATCCCAACGTCTTGTCAGGCGCTGCACCTGGGGGTAGATCCGTCAAAGACCACGGTGCCCTTCCCCTACTCGTGAGAGCCTCAACATGGTGACTTTGCAAACTGGATGAGGTTATGGATTTTTGATGACTTGTCCAACAAGAGTGAATGGTAATCAATGACCTATTTATTGTAAAATATCGATCTATAATGTAGTTTGAAATCCTAGATGAGAATTGAAGTTTACTAAGATCAGGTACAGAGCTATATCCCAATATTAACAATATTTTGAGGATCATCCCAACTCCAAGGAGTCCCACAACCCCGATAGTTGTACTATGTTCTACTGCTTGCAACCATTGACCAACATCAAGTAGAATCCCGTGGTCACTCAGCCAACCGAGCCGTTGATGTGCCCAGGCAGAATGACATTGAGAATCAGGAAGCTGCCCTGTCGCCGCTCAGCCGAAGTGCTTCTCAACCAGTTCAACACGGCCTGCAGATGAGTTGAACTGGTCCCAAAAAAGGTCCCAGAGAAACTTTCGACGCTTCCAGACGTGGACTCCGTGGACTTCAAACTGTGGGTCATTTCTTTCAGCCCAGGTATTTTGAGAGGAGGCCCGAAGGACCAGTCATTGCATCACTTGATGAATTCTCAGATGGTTTGTGCAGTAGGTACTACAATAATGAGTGGCTTGGCTACATGTGATTGCCCACCCTGTATGATATATTTTACCATAATTTACCAACTTACAGTAGGTGAAAATCTCACTTTTCAACGAGGAAGTTGGTGGTTCCATCTGTGTATTTCTGTGACATCCAACCGGGGTTCAGCCTGGGATAAGGAACAAATGGTCCCTGAACTCTGCGGATTTGGAGCAAGCCGTTGCCCTCGGTAAAGCGGCTCAGTTGCGGTTGCGGTTGCGGGTCCAGCGTAGAAGGGGGTTACAGAAATGGGTATGGATCAATACCTATTAATACCATTTTTAATGGGATGAACATCCATAAATCCCAGCTATTTTGATGTTCACCAGGGGTACAAGGTTTTGACACACTGCCAAATTGATGGTTGTTTTTTTCCTGGAAGGTGAATGTCCAAGATGATTGCACTTGAAGATTTTAGCTACCTTGAGGAGGGTGACGTTGAAGGTTTGATTGGACGAGAATTTGTACAAAATGACACGACTGCTTTTTGCGACTTTGGTTCGCAAACATTCTGGATCATGTGTTCCCACATGTTCCTTTTTGATCCCTTTTTCTGTTGGCTTCAAGTCAAGTGGCCTTGACAGGCAGCTTTCAAGTCTAATCCTTTGGTCCATTGTGATTTCAGACTGCTGCCTTTCCTTGCTCTTCTTTTGCTACGTATCTTATCTTACATATCTATGGATCAAAAGTGTACTATCCTGGGACCAATAGAATAATCGAAGGAAGTTTAGAAGTCAAACTTCCGACAATATGGACAGATGAAAAGCAGAGCAGGGCAGAGGCAGAGAGAAGAGGAAGATTAGAAGAGAGAAGATCAGAAGAGAAAGAGTAAGAGGACAGAAGATACAGATGCGCGAAAAGGTAGGAAAGTCGCGATTCACTGTGTTTTTCCAATGATTTGTGGCTCCGGGGGGTCGAAAAGTAGGCTCGCTAAAGCGGCGGGTGCGGAGCCATCTGGCCAGAGGAGAGATGAAAAATTGCACGCCGTTGTGGCGCGAAGCACATTTCAAAGTCAAAATGTACAAAACACCGCAGGTCCGGACCACTTTTGGAAGTTATGATGTCGAAAAAGTGCACGCCGTTGTGGCGCGAAGCACATTTCCAAGTCAAAATGCACAAAGCACCTCAGCGTCGGACCACTTTTGGAAGTTGAGATGTCGAAAAAGTGCACGCCGTTGTGGCGCGAAGCACATGTCCAAGTCAAAATGTACAAAACACACCATTCTCGGACCACTTTTGGAAGTTATGATGTCGAAAAAGTGCACGCCGTTGTGGCGCGAAGCACATTTCCAAGTCAAAATGCACAAAGCACCTCAGCGTCGGACCACTTTTGGAAGTTGAGATGTCGAAAAAGTGCACGCCGTTGTGGCGCGAAGCACATTTTGAAGTCAAAATGGACAAAGCACACCAGGTCCGGACCACTTTTGGAAGTTGAGATGTCGAAAAAGTGCAGGCCGTTGTGGCGCGAAGCACATGTCCAAGTCAAAATGTACAAAACACACCATTCTCGGACCACTTTTGGAAGTTGAGATGTCGAAAAAGTGCACGCCGTTGTGGCGCGAAGCACATTTCGAAGTGAAAATGTACAAAACACTACATGTTCGCGCCACTTTTGGAGGTTCAGATGTCGCTTCGCCGCTTCGCTTCACTACACTACACTACGTTACATTACACCACACTCCACTATACTACACTACATTACACTACACTACACTCCACAACACTACAACTACAACTACACAACTAGACTACACTCCACTACACTCCACTACATTAAATTTCACTAATGTTGGCTGCATAATAATAAATACCCCCCCCCTAAATTTTATTTTTTTAAAAAAATATTTTAGGGGGGGGGGTCAACCTTCCTATAATAATCTATTTGTGGGAATCTATAGCTGGGATCATGATATGTAATTACTGTATCTGATTGATTCTCCATGGTTTTGTTGGGTTTCTGTTAGATTCTGCATAGGGTTTGGTTAGATTTCTGAGATGTTCTGCATAGGTTCTGCATGGATTAGGGTTGGTTTCTGTTAGATTCTGTATGGATTTGGTTTAGTTTCTGTTAAAATCTGCATGGATTTGGTTTAGTTTCTGATGGGATCTGCATAGGATTTGGTTGGATTTCTGAGATGTTCTGCATGGATTTGGTTTAGTTTCTGATGGGATCTGCATAGGATTTGGTTGGATTTCTGCAGCATTCTGGCCTAGATCTCTGGCATTCTGGTGTTCTGATTCTCACTCGCTTTCTGGTCTTCTGATCATGTCGATGTCTCTGTCCATGGATGTCACCTCTGAGACTGGTGCTGGTGCTGGCCCTGGCTCTCTGGATCATCTGAATGATCCTGACAAGAGAAACAGGGTGGCCACCAGGTCTCTGTGCAATCTGCAGCAGGAGATCTCTGCCTACAGGGCTGCCAAAGATGGCAGGGGCTATGTGCACAGCTCTGGTCTGTGCACATATGCCGTTCTGAAAGGAAGAGTGCGCTGGGAGTTACTTGTTTTCTGTTTGATTTTTTTCATTTTTGTATGTGTTTGTGGTTTACTTTTGTTTTTTTCTTCTTTGCTGGTTATGTTTTTTTTAATTCTGGAACCTGCTTAGGATGGAGAACTTTCTGGGCAGTGGTGGACCTCCTTGCCTCTGGAAATGGATCTGCCTAATGGCCTGGCTGTCCTGTGCCTGTGAGCTTCTGTACCAGTCCATCGATGCTGGCATGAGCTCTCTGAATGTTGCTGCTGTGAGCAGAAATCTGGCACTGGTCTGGACAGAGTTTCTTGGCTGGCTTTTAAGCATTATGTTTAGTATATAGTGTGTATATATATATATATATATAGTGTATATATATATATACACAATTGTTTAGTATATTTATAGTAATTAGTATATTTAGCATATAATATATATATATAACTATATATAATATTTATAGCATATATATATATATAGTTGTTTATTCTGTTTACTGTTCTGGTTTGGAGCTTCATGCTTCTGAGGATTCCTTGCTTCTGCGCTTCTGAGATCACTGTGTCTCCTGCTGATTGCACTCTGCC